CAGACTTGATGATCTGCTCAGGTCCCTTCCGATCCTACTATGAAACTATGAAAGATGAGGGTTAATAACAGGACAAATAGATTAACACAATTTATATCCCTAACTTCCCATTCTTACCATGTTCAGAAGTAAATTAGATGTTTTATACTAGTAGCCGATTAAGATACAGCTTTGACTTATATGCCAGCAGACATTCATACCCACAGCCCCAGGCACATGTACACAGACAACCTTTTCAACTCTGTTCCAGTTCCAAAGTGTTATAATTAAAAAATTTAAAAAGACAGCATAGAAGTCCATGTAACCATTCATTTGCTAGATACAGTTGTCGGTCCAAGTTCTATTCCCAATTCTTGCAGCGTAAATCTGGACTAACCTTGTAATGCTTTAGGTTTACATCAGTGTAACTAAGCAGGATGAGTTTGGGATCAGGATACACTACTGTCAGTAGCATATATCATTCCTGGTGGGGAGGTGAAATAGCAACACTATCACAATCATCTATTGTATCAACACACTGAAGAATGTGTTTGAATAATCATTGAGTAAAGGTGCTTCATCCGACAACAGTTAAAATATATGCATGAACCGTGCCAGACAATGAAAGATGCTCAGAGAGAATGAATTTATGAGTATAGGCCGAAATATTATGGAGCCTCTACAGATATCTCATGCTAAGTGTAAGATAAAGAAATACAAACAGCTCATTGCACTTTGTAATTTTGACCTGCTTCCTCAGCACTCCTTAGTGAACATTAACTGATTCAGGATTCACCTAAGAGGATACTTTCCCCTTGTACTTGAAAAACCCAAACTGGTTTGGTTCTAATCACATGTTCATGAGACTTACAACAGTTTTGCTGACTCAGCCAAATATTAGGTGCATTTTCTGGTGTCCTGTCTAGTCAGCGGAGCACTTCTAGCATACATGAGCAACTTAAGCGTATTCTCCATTTTTCGTATGGCATGACTCATATTTAATTCAGATTCATGGCCCTCATTTCAAAAAATTCTGCATTAAATCAAGAATTTATATTTCCTTGGCCATTATACATGCTGTTTTCAGGCCAATTTATTGAGGTTTTTGGGTTATTTTTTTTAAATGCTTACCTCACTCCAGTTCCCCACAGTCCAGTAGCTGCCACTCCCCAATCTGTTGGACACTGTTGGATGGTCTAGTTCTGTAGTATCTGGATAAATTTCCTCTGAAATTATACTTCGATTTTTTGGAGCACCTCCAGGACTTGGAGATCTTGTGCTCTGAGTGTAAGTTATCTTGTCAGTGTGTTCCATTTCCATTCTATTATTATTCTGGTTCCTTAATATGTCACCAAACACTGTTGGCTTTATTGTGACAGATCCTTCTGTGGGGGCCATATTTGTGACAGGTGTATCTATCTGTACACTGACGTTTTGGGGATTTGCTGTTGTTAAAGGTGCCATCGTTTCTGCTACTATGCTGCTAGAAGATGGTGTAGAAGATTCATATTGAATAAATGTTGGTGAGACTTTGGGGGTTTGACTCTCATTTTTTGTTATATCAGAGTTGGCTTTTGGTCTTGTGCTCTCAGTTTTGATTGCTGGGTTGCTTTTGGTGTCAGGAATGGCAGCAGGTTTTTCACTTCCTCCTACTGACCAGTCAGTATCATCCGATTCCTCGGTTAAGTAATCGTAGCCTGGAGTAACTTCTGGACTTCCAGTAAATGAGAAGGAATGACTGGTCACTCCTCTTGGTACCATGATCCCTTCTGAAGTAGTGCTTGGTTTTGTATTAGAGATATTTTTGGCATCCCTTATATTTTCACGTTTTGAGCTATTACTTATAGGACAGAAAGTACTATTTTGGTGTGAGCTGCTTCCATTAAACACAGAGTGGGGATTATAATCGTCATCTGATCTGGTCGAATTGTTCTGGGACATTCTTATTTCCATGTCGTCCATGGCTTTAGAAGAGTTGACAGGAATGGCAGATGTAGGTGCCAGGGTGGGTGTGCTTCTGGTCTCAGGTGCTTTTGTTGTCACCTGGACTCTTGGACGTGGTTTAGGGATGGTTTTTCTGCCTGGTGGGCCTCTTCTGGGATTACCAGCTGTTTTTCTGATTAGGTTCTTTCCTCTTTCAGGTATTAGTGCGGGTATCATCAACTTTCTAGCAGGACATTGCTGGAGTCCACACAGGGCCTTAGAATTTGGTCTTTTTGAAATATCACATGGCTCGTCGTTGTTTTTAGCACAAGTAATGTTACGAGTCCGTACCCCACCACCACAAGTAACAGGGCACTGCAAGATAAAAAGAGCCAATTCTCATACTTAGCCTCCTTCAGATATTTAAAAAAAAATCAATATCAAACAAGTATCTTCTTATAAAAATCAGACTCCTTCTAAAAATGACAGTTTTCCCTTAGAAACAAGTGTTTTGATTTTTTACTATGACACAGTGCTTCTAAGGAAAAATTGGTATTGTTTTCCCACATGGTATATATTAGGGGTGCGTAAAATGGGCCACATTTGATTCAGTTTTGGATTTGGCCCAACTCGGGGACAGTGATTCAAATCACTGTCTCCAATTCAATTCGGCTGAATCTGAAGATTTGATGCTGATTTGGAGAATCAGGGATTCGGACATAGACACAGCTTTACATGTTTTTTCTACATACCTCGAGGTACCAGTGAGGCTCATGAATGCTGGGATGCTGGGGTGGATGGAGTTCAGGGGGCCCCCCTGTGTGCTCGGCAGTGAACCTGGAAGTGAACAAAAAGTACTGGAGGCATGGGGGGGGGGTCTCCCTGCATGCTCCCCGGCAGACCCGGAAGTGGATTGAAAGTGCTTCTGGTCCACTTCCAGGTCTACTGCCGAGCACACTGGGGAGCTTCCCACACGCCTGTGGGACACTGCATGCACCCCAGCATCACAGTGTTGATGAGCTGCCTCGTATCTAGAGGTGTGTAAAAAAACAGTTAAAGCTGTGTCTATGTCCGAAACTTTCCGAATCTTGTCATGAACACAGTTGAGGGGAGAGGTACGGGCCTCTGGGGCCTCCGCTGGGCTGTGTCCAGCAACAGGAGCCCCCCCCCCATGTGTCCCTGAATTACCAGACCTTCCCAGATCTGGCCAGGCTGGGACCGATTCCACTTCTGTGTTGCGACTGCATTGAGTTGCACCCACCTGGTGGCCAGACAACGTGGTGTAGGGCCCAACCTGGCTGGGTCTGGGACTCTCCGTGGTCTAAGGGCACATGGTGAGGAGGTTCCCGGGGAGGCAGGGCGAAGTAGATCCTGGGATGTCCTTTACTTTGAAAAAGTGATCTTTACTATAAAAAAAAGTTTGGAGACCATTGTCCTAGAAGAATGGCTGAAGTACCAGGGTGGAGAATACTCTGGCCAGGTGGCACCTTCATCCCTTCCTGCTGAAGCTGTGCAGTCTTCTCTGCATAGCAGTACAGCTTCAGCATGAAGGGATGAAGGTGCCACCTGGCCAGAGTATTCTCCACCCTGGTACTTTGGCCATTCTTCTAGGGCAGTGGTCTCCAAACTTTTTATAGTGAAGATCACTTTTTCAAAGTAAAGGACATCCCAGGATCTACTGTGCCCTGCTGCCTATCCCCTCCCTGATCTGTTGCTTGCCACCTACAGGCCACCCTTGTAGTCTCTCTCTTAGGAGAAATGTTTTTGAATAGTTTCACTTAGAAGAAAAGACTAGCTGAGCCTCTCTGAGGACTTACATGAAGTTTAAACATGCTTGCCTGAGGACTCGAGTTAGGCTTGTTACTGCTCGGTTGAAGAAAGAACTAGAAGGTAGGTCTCTCAGTTCTTGGATCAATGTTCTAACCACTAGGTAAAGGCTGTTCAACTGGCATCTGGATCCAAGATCTAGACCTGGATCTGGTCTGAGGTATGGTTCAATTTGGCCTGTGCAACTCTACACATTCTAGCTCCAGAAACAGAAGCAGCACATCTCTTAGAGCCTTTTATTGCATCTACTCCATGATGGGAAAAGAAGAAAGAAATAGGAGAGGGATGAGGTCCTTAAATTTGTGGCAGATTATATTCTCCTTTCCTTGTCAACATGTATTTACCCAGTATACCCCTTCTGGCCTTTATTCCGTGTCTTACAGCTTGGATTTATGAAGAACTGATGCTGCTTTTATGGAATTTCATTAGCTTTCTGTTAATACTTCACGAATGTAACCTTTTTCTTAATCATTCCTTTCTCAATAAGGAACCTGGGAGGTCTTAAGCAGATCCCGAGGTATGCCATTTTATAGCAGCTTAGGCTTACTCCCTTGAGTTCATTTAGGTTGCTAGCAAAAGATTTTGGTTTACGAGGAAGAGGGCAACTGTTGACATTATGTTCTTTGTATCTGAAGAAAGAAATAAGCCAGTCTTATCTGAGCCTTCTTATACTTTATTGCCATTCTGCCCTATGCATTTTGGCAGTTGCTTTCAAAGTTTTATGATTTAATTGGGATTCTCATGAGTTTTAATAAGAAATGGACAATGACATTTATGGATTCTAATTGAAAATGGGCATCCAAATTGCCTAGGTACCTCTGAAAATCTCCACCTTAAACTGTGGTGTAAACTCAAGGGATTTTAGAATGGTGCACAGTATTCCATTTTCGTTATTGCCCAATTAAGTGTGTTCAGTTTACAAGCACACACACTAATTTCTCTAACTGCCAGACACACAAATTCAACCTCAGGTTTATTTTGGGTTTACATCAGACTGTATATTTTCCATCTTTTACAGTGTTATCAGCCAAAAATGCTCTATAATCAGAATGTTGTTGATAGTTACTAAAAGCAAGAAGCAGACAAAGTCCATCTTGTTCTTTCACATTTTTAGCCACAATCAGAAGGTATTGTTGTAAGTAAAATATAGCTATTACAGCCCCTGTTTTTTATGACAAGGTATTAACATAGCTTTCTTTAAGTGTGGTTGCAGCCAGAAATACATGTTTGCCTCTGAAGAACTGGAGTGGTAGCTAAAATGTGGTTCAATTACTGAAGATTTTATAAATCTATTTGGATATACTATGCCACATCAACGACATTAGCTGAATTTAAATTGCCCTACAATTCAATTAGTTAATCATTAGTATCTGTGCCACATTTGCAAAACTCATTAGGGAGCATGTTTTTTACAGAATGTGTGTGTGCATGTGCCAGCACATACATGTATCAGGGAGCTAAGGCGGAGGGAAAGGGAGGGAGCTTCAGTAGATAAGCCTTGGAAGTTTTGAAAGGGACATACATTTTGCTGGAGAAGATGCACTGGATCAGAGGAAAATATCTGCTATCCAGCTGTTGCTATTATCACAAAAAAGTTTGATTTCTTAGTTATACTGTAACAACTGAGTATTATCTAGCTAAACAATACAAAAGAAACTTCTTAGTAGACCAGTGAAACAGACTGAGGGTCAGACATGCATACATTTCTACACAGGTCACTCAATAACCCAACAGCTGTCTCCTCCACAGTAAGAGCAGGTATTTAAGTGCATCTTTAAATTGAATATCAACTTAGACCATTTTTTGGCTTCACTGGAAGATGAAGGTGAGGAGAATTTTGCAGGATCAAGCCTATAATTTGCAGATAGCTAAAAAGTGCAAAGCCATTCTATAGATTAGCACTATGACTATACCAGACAAGTTTTTCCTGTTAAATAGAAACAGGCCCAGCAGAATACGTTGTAGTATTTTAAAACTAATCATTTTGATGAGCTCATTTTCTGCAGTTCACCAGTTGCCACTGAAAGTACTTATATATTATTGTACCAACTACTTTAAAGATGTACAATATGGCAGCCCTAACAAACAAATGGAGTAAAAAGAAGCATAATGAGTTAATCTGTTATTGCCAAGTGGGAGAAAGAGACAGAGGATCATTTGGTGCTTAGCATCCCATCCTTCTTTGTATATATTTCTGCAGACTTTTTTCAGGTATGTTCTACAGTGGGCTCATGCCCAGGCTCTGGGAATTCCATGAAGAATCTGACCAAGCCACAAACTCTTTCCTACAGTAAATCAGATCTTTGAAAGGGGGTTGCTTTTTGTTTGTAAAGTGTGGACAGTATGAAAAATATTTCTTAAATGCTTAGGGGAAATAGGTATAAAGCATTACATTTGGAACTGGATTTGGATAGAAGATTTCCCAGGGGCCTGGTTGGATTTTGAGGGTAATTATTGTTAACATAGCAGAAGCTACTGTGTGACACTGTCACACACAGTCTCCCATATTCTTTTTCTTAGCATTTGAGAAAATGCTCAGTCCTGGGATGATGTGTGGTACTGTTAAGTTTGGAGCATGAAAGATTCTTTCTAGTAATCCTTATCAGCCAGGGAGGAGAAGGGTTTGCTCTCTGCCTTGATCTCTTATTAGACTTCATTTTTGAGGCAGGCTGCTCCCTAAAAACTGGACGGAGGTGTTGGACACAGACTGATTTTGGAAGAAGAGACTGCCTGCATGCTATATGGCCACCTTTGTGTAAAAGTAAAGCCTCTGGGTTATTTATTACTCTTCCACTTGAAAGTTGACTTACCATAGATGACAATTACTGTTTGGTAAAGGAGTGATACCAAAGTCTGAATGGGAGACTGGTATAAGAACAGGGATCATTATAATTGCTTTATTGTAGAGACAGGCCCCAAATAAACACACCTATATCAATTCTTAATCCATTTTTGGATTTTTTATTGACCAACCTGTCCTCTTCTCCCCCATGTTTAACATCCCTATGGGTATGATACAGGTTCTAAAGCCCCAAATGTAAGATTTTGGGGTTATGAATTAGGGTATGGCCAATTGTACAGATACATTTGAGTTTAGAACTAGAATTTGAACCTAAGTCCAGATCAGGCTTCTGTTTAAGTTCTGTAGCTGGTTATATAGATTCCAATTTAGCTTTGGAGATGTGGCATACTACTTTGTCCTTTTCCATCTTCCCATGAGTGCCTTCTGCAGAAAAGCAGAGCCTTCATATTTTTCATGCTGAAATTTGAAAAGGATGAGGTGAGACAGAAGTGTTAGTTCTATCAGCTCTATGCTTTTACCTCAGTCCAGTTGCTCACTGTCCAGTCAGAAGGGCATAGGACATCTCTGTTGCATGAAAGGTGAGTCTTTGGCTTAAGCAGATGCTGGCATTCAGTAGCAGCCAAAGCCTGCTCATCAGATCCCACAGTTTGGATGCAAAGGACAGTTCGCTTCTTCTGTCCTGATGGGCCACATGTGGTTGAACACTTCTGCCATTCTCCTGCCCACCACCTGTAATCCAAGTCAGAAAGGAAGCAGAACATAAAAAGGAAATTAATGTTACTCCATTGCAAGAATAATAGATAAAGTTCGCCATGCAGATGCTCTGAAAAAATAGAAAGACACTCACAATGAGGAGTTCAGAATTTCGATGTAAATCCTCCATATTAAATACTAAGCACCCACTTTCCCCTTTGATGGGCAGTGAAGATTCTAATCCCAGATCAGCAGCAGGCACTGAAAATTAAGTTTCTAGAATATATAGAAATATCAGCCATATTTAGAGTTGCCTTCCAATATGATCAACATCTGGGAAGTCCAGTAATCTATTTATTTATTCTCATTTTTCATTACCTCATTGTAACCTTGGTACAGAAAGAGATTAACAAAGGAGAACTACACCTGGGTTATGTCATATAATTAAAGCTGGCAAAACCTGAATAGGTATCTTATTTGTTCCCCTACCACTGAAGGACTGTCCTCTGCAGCATATTGTCAGTTTTTTGTCTCACTTTAAATAACTTTAGGGACATTCCTCTGGTGTATTTGTTCACATTTTAAAACAGCTCCCTATTAGGGTTATTATTAGGAGCTATTAGTATCCTATCCTTTAGCTCACCCACCTCTTCTGTGTTATTCTTCCTCTGGCTACTCAGTCTAATCTGCATGCTTGGCATACATATCACTTTCTACCACCGGAGAAGCACTGACATCAAACAAATTGTACAGCTCACCTGCAAGTGTTTGCACATCTGTAGCAAAGTATAACTAACCAATGAGCTCTGGGTGGCCTCTGCACAAGAATGTGCATCTAAGTTCCTTAAATTAAAATTTTACCCACCCGAGAACTATAAACTTATATATAGGATTTCTAACTAAATAACACCTGTTTCTTGGGTTTAAGGCAGAGCCCAAAAGCTCCTTACATTGATAAGAGATACTTGCAGTCACAGGGCCAGATTCTTGAGAGGTTCATAGATTCATAGATGCTAGGGTCAGAAGGGGTGTCAAAGGATCATAGAGTTTGACCCCCTGCCAGTGGTAGGAAAAAGTGCTCGGGTTATGTGACCCCAGCCAGGAGCTTGTCCAGTCTCCTCTTGAAGACCCCAAGGTAGGGGAAAGCACCACCTGGTAAACAAAGCAGCTCCTGTTCCCTGATGCCCCTGCCACCCTGATGAATTTGCATACTGCCACAAGATTCCCCCTTAGCCTTCTCTTGTGGAGGTAGGTAGATGCAACTCTTCTGAAGTCAATGAACTTACATAAACACTGGTTTTGCCCTACACTGTTTTTTAAAATTATCCTTAACTCAGTGGTATTAGGAATAGTAATAATTAATCACATACTTTCCTTTGACTCAGCCACATGAAGATAATGGCACATACAGTTTTACACACAAACCTAATACATTATAACCATTCATTCCCTCTGAACTACTGATGTCTGATTATTTCTTTTCTGAATCAAATTCAAAGATAGGAGAACAAAATGAAACACAGAGCAAAAGAAGGAAAAAGGACCCTATTTTTTCTAGGTTTATTGATTTATATCTAGAGCAGGGGTGGGAAATTATTTTGGCTGGAGGGCCACTTAACTCTAGATTCTAGAGTAATTGCAGTGATGTTAGTCTATACTCTGGAGTTATGTTGATTTAATCAAAAGCAGCATCCTAGAGAATAAAGAAATTACAATATGATGAGCAGGGATCCCGGCTTTCCGTTTCCCATGGAAAAAATGTGGATTTTCCCTTTTAACTGAGAAAAAGACCAATTTATCATTTTAACAGAGAAACATGCAGCTTTTCAAGTTTTTGCAAAGTTCCAGCCTGCAGGGTGCTGGGGGGAGCAGGAGGAGGGCAGTCAGGCAGGGGGCACCATGTGCATGTATATACACATTGCCACAAGGCACCCTGGAGAGCAGCTCCCACAGATAAGTCTACAGGAGGGGTGGGGTTTGAGGACCCCATAGGAAGGGAGTGAGTTGGGTCAGGCCAGGGCTGGGACTGTTGCCCAGCTGGGCAGCATGAGGGGTTTAGGGCCTGGGGCCGAAATGCGCGGCAGCAGAGCCATGGGCAGCTCATCCAGGGCGGGGGAGGAGGGTGGGGAGGGAGGAGGGGAGGTAGGGATGGCTTCCCGCTGCTGATGTGTGCACTCCTGGGAGGGAGCAAGGGGAGGGCATGTGCCACCCAGATCTGTTCATGGGATGGGGAGGGGTGGGGGCTGCTTGCTGTGGGCCCTAGGCTCCCTGTCCTCCTGCCCTCTTCTCAGGGCCTCCATGGCCCAGTGGGCAGGAACTGGTATGGCAGGGCAGAGTGGAGCCAGGCAGGGAAGCTCCTTGCCTCTGCAAGCCTTGTACCACCCTGGTGAGATACCCCCTGCCCACCCAGCAGCAATGGGGGTGGTGGTGTGGGGTTGTGCCCCTCTCTCTAATGCTGGGCGGGCAGCGGGCAACTCACCAGGGTGGCGTGGGGCTCACAGTGGCAAGGAGCTTCTTCATCTGGCCCTGCTCTGCCCAACAGTGCTGGGTCCTACCCGCTGGACTAAGGGCAGCAGGACAAGGAGCCTGAGCTCACAGTGGGCAGTCCGCACCCTTCCCCCGCTATGGGCTGCTCTCTGGCTGTGCTCCATGCTCTGCTCTCCTCTTGGGCTGCAGTGACCACTGCCTCCTGTGGGTGGAAGTTGGGGACTCAAACACTACTGCAGGGGGTAAGGGGCTGTGGACCCAGGTCTCTGGCCCCACAGCCCTGGCAGGTGGGGGACCCCTCTGGCAGGGCTGGGGGGGCAGAGGGCTGTGGGCAGGGAGTGACGGGTACCAGCAGGACGGGGGGGAAGTGGGTGGGGTCTGAGGGGCACCGGCAGAGCCAGGGAGCTGTGGTTGAGCAATGAGGAGCACCTGCAGAACTGGGAGACTGACTTGGTAGTGAAAGGCCTGGACTCGTGTCCTGGTAAGTGAAGGAGGCAGGGGGAGATCTGATTTTCCATGATAAAAAACCCAAAATCAAATATCAAATTGTATAGGTATTTAGAATTTATTTTATTATAGTGATTGAGGCACTGGTAGATTTCCAAATTGCTTTAATATTGTAATATTGTAAATATATCAATAAAACACTGTGTTAAATTGTTCCATTTTAATTGTGAATTTGGGGGGTTTTATCAGAGAATCTGAGATTTTTTTTTTTATCAGAATTGGTGATTTTTAAACAGAATCCCTAATGATTAGGTTCTCCAGCGCCTATTCAGAAGGGCCCAAAATGTCCCAGCAGGGGTGAACTTCCACCTATATCATATTAGATTCACAACTACCACTCAAAGAATCACAGTATAGACTGTTGGGGTTCCTGGGAGGATCTTGGCCTACTGCAAATTGAAGATATTTCCTGTAAACAGTCAAATGAAAGTAGGCATCCTGAAAACAGAGATGCAAACAAGTTCCTCCTCTGTAGTGGCAGTGGGTTGGTAGCTAGTGTTACTATCTTGAACTCGAACTGGAGAATGAAGTTGTTAAATTTTCTTAGGCCTAGATGAGGTAACATCCCCACATCCTTCTCGGAACTGGGAAGTAAGTGCAGTGCAGGCTGTTTTCTTTAGGGGATGGAGAATTTGCTGTGGATAACAAACTGAACTGGATGGTGTATCCAGCAGTTATGGTACCTAATACTCCCTAAAAAGCAGGCCAAGCAGTTACTGGAGGAAAAGGGGTTTGGGAGGAGAAGAGATTAGAGGGAACACCAAATACTACACCAAAGACTGCAACACCAAAGATTTTACCTGGCTGGACGCTAAGAGGCAGATGGTGCAGCAGAAAAATGCTTGCTCTGGTGGAAATGTTGGCATTCCCTGGGAGGGTCTCAAGGCCAGTGTACAAAAGAGAAGGAATGGAGGAAGAATGTTGCAAGTGTTTCTGACCAGCATAGGTGGGCATGTATGATTCATCCCAAGGGCTGGCAAATATAGAAGAAAGGTAGCCCTAGAATCCTTTAGGGTTTGAAGCACTTCATCACACTTAGTACTGAAGAACTCCACTTCCCATTGATCTTTGCAGCTGTGAGGGGTGCCCCATGGCCACTGCTGTAGTCATGGCATGCGAGGCAGGACCCCGCCATTCTAAACCCCTAAAGTTATCAGTTTGTTGGGAGACCACAGGAATAATGAATGGCCTCATCCAGAAAGGGAGAAGAGGAGGGGCTGTTTCTCTGAGGATCACACCATCTGAAATCTGAATCTGGAGAATTTTCTCAATCCAGTGAAAGCACCATCTGGGAGGGTGATTGGAGGAGTGAGATGTTAGGCAGTAGGACCCGTCCAAAGTACAGGTGATCGGCCATGAATCCTAGGCACAAATAGCCACCTTGGGAAGTCCAGATAGGAACCTTGCAGTCACTCAACCGGTACCAATGAGGCCTAAGGGAGCAGGTTTGGGGGCCAGGACTGTCTTAGGGAGGACCCTTGAAGAGAAAACAGACCAGCACTTCATACTGGAACCAAATGAGGATTTTGTAAAGTCACCCTTTGTAGGCAGCTGCATGAGGGTCTCGGTCTGGAACTGAGGGGTGGTACATTGAGGGCAGAGCTGGTGGAAGCACTTGCATGTGGTACCACTGAAGAAGCAAAAGGTACTAGTTCCACAGATGATTGTCCAGATCACCTGGAGCCACTGAGGTTGGGAATTGAGGCTGGGTAAAGACTGGGTTCAGGGAAAGAACTGCCACTCACCCAGCCTGGGAAAACCAGGACTGGGGATCTCAACACCAGAGTGAAAAATGGTGCCAGAACCAGGGCAGCACTCCTTTTCGAAGAACGAGGTAATGCTGAGGACTGCCTAGGGCATTTCTCTTGAACTACTGCTGTGCTGACTGGCGATGACTGACAAAACCAGAGGATGGTGCCAGAGAATGTGTGCTGGAGTTTCAGCAAGTTTCAATGTCACCTGTCCAAGGCTCTGCAGCCTTTGGGCAGGAAGGATGAGGCAATGGAGAAGCAGGGCTCCTTGTAGAGACCTGAGATGGGTAC